CGTTGAAATCATCATCAATATCTATACATAGGATTTATTCTCCAATCTATGTCTCTTAACATGGGTCTTTGCAGGAAAGCATACTTTCGTATGATATGAAATATTTTTGCAGGATATTCAAATCTACCACATACAAATCTATCAATTTTTTTTTAATAATAATGCAATAAGGTATTAAAATTTTCTTTTATTTATCCCTAAACTTTGAGATTTATTTTGTATAAAAAATTTAACTTAATTTTTTTTAATTCTATTATTAACAATTCTTTCATTACTTAATAATTTCAGATATTATCTTTTAAGATTTTAGTTGTGTGTTATTATGCATTGTATGACCTTTCTCATTCTAATAAAAAAAAATCGATTTAATTTTAAATGGGTCTATTTTTCTATTATTTTGCACTTTTTTTTTCTCATTTTGTTCCTTGCATATTGTTATTGTATTATTCATTGTTTAATATTTTTGCCACATGACCTTTTATTATACTTCCTCTTGAAATTAGCTAATTATCAACTAAAAGGCTTTAAATTTAGTTGACATTCTTATATATTAGCTAAACAAATGCCATCGAATTTAAAAAAAAAAATTATTAGTAATTTATACTGGCCTTAATATGATTTTATATCTTTAATTAATTTAAGTCCACATGCCTTTCTAAAAAACTGAATCTACAGAAAACAAATCCAAGATCATTTTTCTAGATAGGAAGAGTAAGATGATAATAAATATATATTTTAGATTTCTTTATGCTAATGTGAATTTTACCTACTTGGTCAGGTTTGCGATATCTTTAAGTTTTTTGTATTTTTTTAAACCCAAAAAAATAAAGAAATATCAGCTTTCTTAGCGCGCTAAATTGTATATTTTTTAATCTTATTATAATTTGTGTTAGTATCTATCGACAAATAGAAATAAATAATCTCCTAAAGTAGAAAAAATAAATAACTAATTAATGCATAATTAAAATAGAAAATATTCGCTAATTACAAAACCTAAGACGTTGATATGAAAGAAATTCAAATTCATATTTGTCTTTTTTTGTACAATTAAATTCTTGTATGATATATTCTTATAATAAATTGCATATAGAGGATTAATGTCCATTGGTCCACTCATCGAGTTCTTTGGCCTATCAATGAATATTGCTAGAAACCTTTATATATATATATATATATATATATATCATCTAAAAAAAGTTAGTCTATTAAATAAACTCATCAAAGAAAGGAATAGGGTATCTAGGCATAAGAGGCAGAAAAACATTTACCTTTGGTTTTACTTATAATTTTTTTATATTTTTATAATATATTTATCATCATCATTTCTCTTTTGACTTCGTATAACCATCATCAACCTTTTTTTCTCTCAATTTATCCAATTTGCCTGTAACTTTATGTTTCAATTTAATTTTTTCTATGTCCATTGACTTGATATCTTTTCATAATGAAAAAAATAAAGGATACTTTTTCTTTCATTTTAATTTTAATAATAATTATAAAACTTATTAGTTCCACTTTGTCCGCCACTAAGAAATGATATTTAAATCATGCCACAACTATATTAATTATACTCAAAGTATTTATTTGGTAATATAAGCTTCTTTTTTTTGCTGCAGTGAATTTGGATAAAAGGTTACTTAAATATACATTGAATACTAATATTTCAATAAAAATATTATTCATTTACTAAAATATTAAGTAAATTAATTTGTATATATCTATACATTTAAATAATAAGAATAAAAATAAAAAGTTGTATTCACCTGATCTTGTCCTAATTCTTATCATGTTTGTCCTAATACTTACGATCTTTATCCTAAATTTATTTATTAATTTTAAATAGATGTAGAAAGATATATAAATATAGATAATAAATATTGTCTTTAAAATTGCTAAATAGCTTTTTCTTATTATAGTGATTCATGAAAGATGCATCAAGTTGAATACAGGAAAAAGAGATTTTGTTATAAGGAAGTCTCATATTTTACATGATTATGCTCAATTTATTTACAACCGTCATACAGGAAAATTTAGTCATCAACAGTAATATTTACTCAAACGTTGAAGCAATCCTAAAAATAAAAAAATTATTCTATTATCACTAATTATTCGATTATTATCCAAATTGTATTGAGTCGCATGGAGAAAGGCGAAAGTAACTATGACAATTGACATCAAGTATACTTTACTAATGAAGTTGACAAAAGGGTAAATGAAAATCGTAACAACAATAGAGCAATGCAAGTATTTTAGGATAAGTATCATGTGTAACGTTGGCTTGACTACAATGAAATGAAGTGATTTCCGCTTATACTCTTCAATTCCTAAAAAATGCTAAATTGAAATTACTGATAGCAATTGTATAGCTAAAGTTTTGAATAGGAAGATAGATACTATTTTGATATACCCTTCATATAATTAAAGTTTATTATTTGTTTGATATTCATTTATACAAATTGAATCTTAAAATAAACATTCTTTAAAAAGAAGAAAAAACAAACTTTTTTGTATATTAACTGATTTTTGTGATGTTTCTTTCTCCAGCATGTAGGTTTACTTCATTATATATGTAAATAAATTTTTATTTGATTTTTAAATTCTTTTATGTTGTCCGGATAAACATAGGCGTGTACCCTATATATTATATTTATTTTAAAACAAATTCACTTTATTTAAATCTCGATATAATGTTTTAAAAAACTATAATTATAGAATTTTAGATGTGAAAGAGTTGCATGATTATATGTAATTTTTTTTTTTGGCCATATGTGAAATAGTATATAGAGACAAATATATGTTATTCGCTTAGACTTTCGAGTTGGAGTTCTGCAAAGTTTTACAAATTATTTTTTATCCGGAAGATTTTATTTTCTAAGTAAGTATTTCTTTTGAATGTTTTCAGAGATTCTTTTTTTGATTGAAGTGTTTTCGGAAAAAAGATAATTCTAACATAGATTAAAGTTCCATAACAAAAGTGAATTGAATATTTTCAAGTCAAAACGGAATTTAAATAATTTAAAATTTAGTTACATTAAATGAGTTTCCATATATAGTTCTTAACATATTTGATAATCTCCCCACAAATTCTCCTAAGATTGCCAAGTAAAAATTTAATTATAGTAAATAAGATTTCATATATTATTCAACCTATATTTTCTTATTTGACTATCTCCCCACAAACTCTCCTTAAGTTTGCCAAGTGACTTGTTAATTAATAACTTGTCACTTTACTTAATTATAATGAAACTTTATTACTTTACTATATAGATGTTTCTCAACTTCTTTCTTAAGATTTAAGTTTTCAAATCTGAAATTTTCTTCAGCAAAAGTTTTAGGATTAACTTCTCTATTTTGAATTGATAACTTGTTTTGTTTTTGTTATATTTTTCATGGATCTATTAAATTTCATTGCATAGTAGAACAGAGATGCGAAGAAAACTGAGATGAATACTCTTATTACTCATCATCTTCATTTCTCTGTTCTTTAATGGTTCTTGAAGTCATGAAATGAGTTCTTCTTAGCTAAATGAACATGGAGATATTTGATGATTTGAGAAATGGAGAAGAGGAACAGATGATAATCAGATATTCAAATTGTATTAGTAGGAAATGGAGTATAAGATCTTAATAGGAAATGAAGATATTAGTAGTAGGAAATGGGTTTTTCTCGGTTCCTTGTCCTTTTTAATGAAAACTCCACCTTGTTCACTACTCTATGTCAATTTATTTCAGCTATTTCTTCTTGTGTTCGTCAAATTGTTGGAAGCTTTTTTTCCTTCTTTTTTTTCATAATATTGTAACTTAAGTTTAACTAAAAAAAATTGATGAACCCAATTTCCGAAGATGGCTGCTTTTTGGTTTTCTGATTTTTGGGTTGAATGTGGGTAGGGGTGGCAAGTGGGTCGGGTCATGCCCTAAACGGGCCTAGTGAGCTGGTTTCGTGGGCCGCGATCCCTGATCTCGGACCCAAACCTTTATGTGGGTGATAAAGGTGGTAGGGTGTTTTGATGACGAAGAAAGAGAAGGTTGAAAAGAAAATGAATAATAATAAAAAAATAAAGAGATTTGGAGGGTAATGGGTCGGGTATTGGGTTAAAAAAGGGTGAATTTTAATCTAAATCGGGTATTTAAAATTGGGGTGGGGCATTCGTTTCCGAGCTGTCACGTGGGGCTCCGCCTAAATTAAGGGTAAATATATTTCATAGTATAACGGTAAGGTGTTAATTGGACCAATAGTGAAACGGATGATATATTTAAATAATTTTTAATAGTACATGGATATATTTGACCATTTACCGTTTAAATAATTATTATCCACTTAGATAGATAAACGCAATTCTATAGAATCTTTTTATAACTGAAATCCGCAATGATTTGCGTTAATCACGATGGTAATTAAGGTAATATTTAGCTATTGTGAGTCTTTTAAAATGGAATGTATATGAATTGTAAAAAAAAATCAGTTAATTTTGATAATTAGGAAACTTCAGTTAATCCGGGTAAAATAGTTTGTAATATAGTATATATAGAAAAAAATTCCACTTTACTGTATATCTAAAAAATAAAATAAAAGTTATTATGGTTTTGGCCTTTAAAATTTGCACCATACGTGGCGGCATCCTATATATATATATATATATATATATATATATATATATATATATATATATATATATATAT